GCGTACCGGCGTACTGCTGATGACTGTTTATGGTTGCTCGCTCGCTGGCTTGCCGAACAACCTCCTCGTGGTGCCAGCTGGGTGGTTCGGGTTTTTCCCGTTCCAGCAAATGGTTCGGCGGCAGTGTTCCAGGACGTGGTGGGTTTTCGCCTGACAAGCGTTCTCCCCATAAAAAGCCACATATGTCCGTTTAACAACACTGTGACGTGGCGGATGTGACTCGTCACTAAACAAAGTCACTGCCCCTTGCTTCATCCTGGCGAAGCATTGTATTCCAGCAGCCTTATGCTGTACTTCTGGGGAGCATTGGGCCCCTGTTTGACAAAGGAACAAACGAAAGGCGTATGAACTGAGCAATCAGTCACCGGCTCCCAATGGGCGCGATTCACTGAATTCGCTCCGCTGCCTTGCGGGCAGGCTATTCAGCCAAAGGCTCGGAGAGGTGTCCCCTAAGTCAACACCCTACTTCGGCTTGGGCAACCGGGTAGTATTTGCCCTCTGACGAAACCATGGACATCGATGTTTTGTGTTGTGTTTTCTTTTACTATTTCTGTACCCCATGGTTTCTGATGGCTTTGTCTATTCGTGGACCCTTGCAAATATATATATATATATATATATATATATATATGTATGATGGCTCCCAGTTTCACTATTACATTTTGGATACCATCCGCGAAGAGGGCTGCGGTACCATTCAACTTGCGCCTCACGAATCTGGTGCCCACGAGTGCCAGTAAGTCCATGGAGGACAACAGAGGAAAGTAACTTGGAGAGAATTGCGAATAGACTGAACTAACGATAACAGTCGTATTCTGGACATGAGCCTCCCGTGAAATTTGGGACTATAACAGAGTGGCTCCTGTCTGCTGGAACAGTTTGCTGCTCCTACAGATTCGTAAATAAGTTGTGCAGATCATGTAAAAAATCAAGTCCCCCGAATTTGTAGTGAGCTGGATGAAGTCTATCTGCTCCTAAGGCCTTATTCACTTTCAATAGTTCAACTTCACGTTAGGTTTCTATGCGAGCGTAAATCCGAAAGATGAGCACAGAAAAGTTGGCGATCAATGGCCAATAAGGAAACTGGTAATTCTGGATTATCCAGGTGGTTTTCAAGGCGTCCAGCTTAATTCTGCAGGCGTTTTGATAAGCTATGGATCGACTGTCCACTCTCATCGCATATAGTCCCGCTTACAACAGTTCTAATTCTAACCGTTTCGTTTAGATGCAATAACTTATGTTGGTTACCAAGGAGAGCGATAAGGCCCAGCTCCGATGCACGATGAGACCGCCAGGGTTCGCGATATCGCTTCAGACTGGCACGGATGTTTGCCCTGAGATTTTCGCAAACCTCTCTATGTTCGCTCTCTGACAGCATGTCGCGTGGAGCACAAGGAAGCTCTACAGCCTGCGTAGAGACACGTTGTTCAAGTAGGTAAGCGGATTTGCGACATGAAGACATACATGCTGCTATCCACACCTTGCGGACGTGTGAGCAGTGAGCTTCCACGGTGTTTAGTGGACGAGTACTCAGTTTGGAAGCCTGAGTGCTTAATCACTGGCCAAGTATATGTGAACTCACAGCGCCATCCCGAGTGTCCACCGAAACGCACTCGCAAATCATTGTACACAAATGCAAGTAGTTGGAGTCTGTTTGTGTGCTCCATATCGAAAGGCAGCTTTAAACACATCTCCGACAGTAAATGATTATGTATACACATAAGCACAAAGGTCTTGCAACTAGACATAGAGCCAACAAAGCAATGTAGGATAGCAGATAAGGGGACGTCACGCGGTCATAACCATCGTGGCAGAGTAGATAAAGCTGAGCATCGCACTTCAGCTACTACGCCGAAGGAAGAAAGGAACATTTCGACAAAAAAGTAAAACAAAACATTTTGACTTTGATTTTCAAGGGCTGATTTTTCTCTTTTTTGTCATTTTCAACGGTTAAAATATTAAACCAGTAAATCAATACAATTCTGCACACAATTCTTCTACTGATTCCGGTTGAGGGGCATGTCTTCAAGAGTGTTAAGCCATTGGCACTCCCGATTTTTGGTTCCCCATCCTGGAACACGTGCGGGTCCAACAGCGGCTAGAACGACGTCAGCGATTTCATGCGCTGTCGCCAAGTTGAAGGAGCATTGGGCCCCTGTTTGACAAAGGAACAAACGAAAGGCGTATGAACTGAGCAATCAGTCACCGGCTCCCAATGGGCGCGATTCACTGAATTCGCTCCGCTGCCTTGCGGGCAGGCTGTTAAGCCAAAGGCTCGGGGTGGTGTCCCCTAAGTCAACACCCTACTTCGGCTTGGGCAACCGGGTAGTATCTCGCCCTCTGAGGAAACCATGGACATTGTTGTGTTGTGTTTTATTTTACTGTTTCTGTACCTTCGTTTGAATCCCATGGTTTCTGATGGCATTATGTCTGTTAACAGATTTTTGCAAAAAAACGTCCTTGACGAGTGAATAGAGCGCGACGCGGTAGACGCTCAGGTGCAATGCGTAGGACGTGACCGAGCCATCTCCACTGGAGCAGCAAAACCCGTTTCTTGAAGTGAATACTCGCATTCTCCAAGATGCGACGTCGAACTTCATTACTATTAACTCGATGTTGCCACCAAGCACGAGCAATCTGCCTTAAGCAACCGTTAATGAAGGCAGAAAGACGACGTATGTCTTCCACGCGAATCGGCCAGGACTCGCTCTCATACGACAACAATGAACGAACAGATGCGCTGTAAACGCGGCACTTTAGCGAGAAAAGGACGTCATGACGACACCAAAAGTGCCTCAGATTGGCAAATGCTGATCGGGCTTTAGCGATGCGAAGAGAAACTGCTTTGCTGATAGAGCCGTCAGTAGAAACACAGCTCCCAAAGTAAACGAAACTATTTACCTGTTTAAGTTGTGCACCTTCTAGAGTGAGCACGGGAGGAGGCATAAGCCAACCCTGGAGCACTACTTTACACTTCGATGGGCCGAAGCTTATGCCATACTTAGATGACATAATAGCCAAACGATCCAGAATGAGTTGCACACCCTGAGGGTTGCCACCAAGTAAGGCGATATCATCAGCATAATCTAAGTCGGTCGCGTGCTCACCCGGTAGAAGCTCCAGGCCAAAATGTTGAAAATCTTGTAGAGCACTCGACAGAACGTCTTGATTGCGAAGTTGAAGAAGAATGGGGACACAGGACAGCTCAGTTGCATCCGCCTATTGACAGCGAATGGCGAGGAAAACTGATCGCGATGTATTCGATTTGAGTAAATAGCCGGTGGCCACCATGTACCCCTGCGGCGTATGTTGTGGTAAACACGAGTGACTAGGTTTCTTATTCATGGAGTAATAATAGCCTTATCGCAGCGTTGTACACTGCAACATTGACTGATAGGTACAGATGAGTGGAATTCTGAAAAATCACACACGCTTTGCTGATAAGTACAGCAATCATCTCGGTGAGATGATCATCAGAGATGATGTGACTATCAAGGTAATCGAACCAGCCGAGTAGATTTAGTGGGTATTCAGTGGTAACAAGAACCGATGATATGTCGATCCAGATCTGCAACGATAGCTTGCAATCTGAAATTTCAAAGCACACAAGTCAAAGCGAACATTACCCGGTGTTGGCCCCGATGTTATGTTGTCTAGTTGGTCCAAATTTGTCTGCTGGTCGCGCTGTATAACTTTCACACAACGAACAAACTAAGTGGGTATGCCCCACGGAGATGAGGAAACACACACCGCATGTGCAACAACAGACCTAGCACGGGACAATACGGGTAAAGTACAAGGAAACAAAGGGAGGGCGTACGGGGAAAACCGATGCTCACTGCACGCAAAACAAACGGTTTTCGATCAGAACGCGTCCACAGCAAAGCACTGGATAGTATTGTAGAATCGATTACCAAGGAAGCTGGAACCCTATGGGAGGATTGGGTGATATGAAGACAGGCTGCGCAGGAAATATATGAAAATGGAATAACCATTTTCGCATGATAATAAGGGCGTTGAATTACTCGTTATTAATTCGTACCATAGAACAACGGATGAACACCTTCTGGAGATAATAAAGTTCAAGGAAATGAAAGATAGACAGAGACGAAAAGGCGATCAGGCGGAACGGAGTGCAATTGAGACAACACAGGCCTACAAGGCAAGAGTAAAACCCCTGCACAAATCGAACAAAGTACGGAAAACCGGAATGTGACAAATTCAAGAAATGGCCCATTTGAAGTAGTAAAAAAGAGACAGGAACAAGTACAGGTTCGAGTTGTCAACTATTCTCTCTACGGCGAAGCTAGAGTGAGTATTCGAAGGTCTTTCGCAGATGTGGGCCACTGAACAAGTTTTGCAGCATCCGCTTCTGGATTTGCCTGTCACTGCGGCTCCCATGGGGAAAGACACACGACGTTTGCACCTTCACAGGGAGCATGGGTGGCTATGCGTTACACCAAGCCCAACTCCATCCACATATCCCATATCTAGTGGGAACCCGAAGGAATAAAACCGGGAGGCATGTGGATGAGAGCGACGTTTTATCCACGGAGCCACCGGCCCACATTCCTTCAGTATGCAGAACGGCAACATTCCAATCAAATTAGGGAATCATAGATACCAGACGTACACAAGGGGGGTAGCGGGACTGCAGTCTGCTCCACACTGCATGGAACCATTTTGGTGCCTAGCACGGTCACGAGGACGGTGCACCCCATCCCACCAGTAAAGATTCAGTCTCCTGGAAGCAGTAATCCAGGTGGTGGGTAATAGACAGATAGGTACCTTGTCAAGATTTATATCAAGCGTAGCTATGCCGGGGATAGCAAACAAGCAACACAGGACTAGAAGGAAGACAAACACGTAAATTCGGCAGGAAATACACAGCAGAATAACAGAACAAAAGAAATCAAATAAAATGGAACACTTTTCATTCAGATTAAGATCAACTTTATGTGAAGATACCATGTGATAACGCTACGCTGTATCAAACATACCATTACGGTACCGCGAACAGTTCAAGTTGCGGCAGTTGACAAAGGAGGACCGGTGGGCACCTTTCAAGGGACGAGTGTCAGATGAGAGTTGATCGAAATCAGCGGCACAGGAGGAGGAAAGACTCAACTGAAGGGTGAAAAGATGAAATGGGATTTTGGAACATTGCAATGTAACAGCTGGTGAGTGGGGGGTGCAACAAGCTAACCACAAATAAAGTAGTCTCAGCAGTACGTTGGCACTGCGTACGGATACTTTGCTGCCGCGCAACCACCACCAGTCGCGCGTGGGTTATGAATACTGTGAAGGTCGCCAAGTCCCCTACGCAGACTTGAACCAGCGTCCCCGAATTACAAGGCAGGCTTGTGCACCTTAAGGTCAGGGGCCGGCTAATCATGTGCTTGGGCGGACAGAGATAACAGACTGAATAAAACGTAAGACGTCGGTAACCCTTAAATATCAATGAATTGGACATGGAAACTGCCCAGATGAGGAAGTGGAGTAGCAAGTAGAGGAGCAAGCAGCAGAATGTGATCAGTGAAGTGGTAAACATTCACAACGAAAAGAGTAGAAAATAAGGAAATGAAAAGAAAACAACGACAAGTGACTGGTTCGGAACGGAAAGCGAAAGCTCAAAATCCGTTGCACCACTGGGTCCTCGAAGAAGTGTAGCGGAAACAGTAGTTTTGGCCATCAATATGAGACCCGTGGTCCCCGTTCAATAAAGCAGGAATCCAGTCCGGCTACATTTAGGACTGGACGGCCATGGTAAAACTTGGCTCTATGAACTGCGTCAGTATATCAAAAGCATGGATCAACAAAAGCGGTCAATGCGAATGTGAACAAGTAACCAGCGCAGACAGTGTCACAATCAAACGAACGCTTCGGCGTGATACCAGATATTACCCGATGCGAAACCCAGAAGGTAGACTGCAAACCCGCGCATCCAACTGTTCCGACAAACATGAGTGTTAGGCGATATAAAAAATATAAGAAATCCATTGAACGTGTTCTCGATTCGCAAACTAGCACTGGCCGCGACAAAGAAGATAAAACGGTTCATCGCCTGAAATGATAAAGTGGTAAACTCGAATGAGAATAATTGGAGCGCCGAGTAACCTTCATAGTATTTGGATCAGAAGCACATGAAATGCCAGCGCGTGTGAGCTAATCAATTAAAGAAACATACGCAGCACATGCTCGAACCGATACAACTTGGTAGCTGGGGTCGTCGTTCGACCAACGACATAACACCACCTCTGCTTAGTGGTCACCTGTGCATCAAGTCGTTGCAGCATTAAAAAGTGATGCCACCAGACGTGAGCAACGCACTGCAGGCAACATAGAGGTCGGAAAGTCAAATAGGTACGAGATTATCTCCGGTATAAGGATTAAAGTCTTACTAGCGGCTATCGCTGTGTGGTTCCGCAAATGCAGCTAATAAAATGTAAAGGGAGGGGACAGCGCATTTGCACGAAACCGATCTCAACACTCAACGCACGTGAGCGCATTTCAGCAGTCACGCTTCAGTTGCACCTGCCAAGATATGTTTGAAATGAGCAATTAACTCCGGTAATCTGCAAACCAGTTCATGATGCTATAGCCGTCGCAGAAGAGAAATAACGACGTCCTATCTGTCGCATCAATCAGGGTAGATGGAGGTTTAGATGCTAATGCTTAAGCCTTCCCGTCGAATCATTCCCCCTCTTAGGCTTTTTCACCCTTATCGTCCCGTTCCAGCTTCACTTTTATCCACGATGTTTTCAATCCCCAATTTTTGGCTCGACACTTTTCTTTGATAGGCGTTTATCTACTAGTTTTAACTCACATGCAAACGCAGAGCGTCACTTTCGCCCTATCGACAAGCCCAGTTCATCGGCTTCTATTCGGAGCCTTCGATCCTCAACGCACATTGTTACAGGTCGGTCAACAAGCAGCATTTGTCTGAACACTCTAGATCGATATCTTTTATCTATCACAAAGCCGGTTGCAAAACTCGAGCAATGTGCTCGCTTTGCGATCTCTTTCAGGTGACGCTAGTAGTGCCTTCTTCTTGCGCCTATCTGAACACGATGAAGCTTCGAGTGCCAGGCAAGCTGGCATTGGTGTTGCCCTTGGTTGATTGGATCCAAATCAGTGGCCGGATGTGTGCGGTCCGATTGGCTGGCTTGTCCAGCGTTTTGAAGTCGCTCGGGGCTAACATGTATCTGTCATCGCTGCCTGTGTATCCACAAACTATAGAAACGACTCAATAAAGGACGACTTCCATCGCCAACTGAAGAAGAGCTCCTTCGTCACAGAAGAAGCACGGACGCTGTAGTGATGGCTAGCGATTTTAACGCTCAAACTGGGAAATTATCCACTGATGAGCTGCATCTGGGCGGCTAACACGGCGCAGGCTCCCGTAATGATAACGATGAGCGGTTGTTTCATTTTTAGGAAGATGTACGCTTATTTCTTGTGAACAATAACCTACGACACAGCCCCTGTTGGAGAGTGACATAGCGCCCACTAGCCTTAAACCAGCTGTGGAAGCAAGTCGATCACATTGCAATAAGTTACCGATGGAGAGGCTGCGTCCAGAACTGTCGCTCGATTTGGAGCACATGTGTGGACACTGACCATGCACTTGTATGTGCTGACTTGCGGAGGTGTTTTGGCGGACGATCACGAGGACACTATCAGCCCATAGAGACCAGCAACCTGGCGAAGATAGATGTGCTGAGTGCATACATACTTATATATTTATTCACAAGTCTTTGAACAGACAAATGTGCCATGCGAGTCATGGTGGTATGGAAAGGAGAATGTAATGTTCAACGAGGAGGAAAGGGTAAAACGTTAGAAAAATGTTTTTTTTTCAGTTTCACACACGCCGTTTTGAGTTTTTTTCTGTTTTCATGTTTTGTTCAACATTAAAAAGCACAAGATGAAGAGATGGTAGAACAGCATTGACGCCACTGAATTCTATTGCGGGCCATATCCTCCAAGACTTTCAACCATTGGGAATCCGCTTCACGTGATCGCCAGCCTGGAAGACGCACAGATCCAACTGACGCTAGACACGAAGTTAGGATCTTCATACTCCTTTTCCAGGTCAACGGTTGTCCACCGCGGCTCTTTTTCCATTCGCGTCCAGGAAATGCAAAGAATGCGCGACGTGGAAGGCGGTGGACCGGCATGCGCAGTAGGTGACCAAGCCAACGTAATTGGTGCTGGATAATTATGCTCTGGAGACCAAGACTGTCCGCTCCCATGATTCTGCTTCTAACTTCCGCGTTGTTCACATGGTGCTGCTATTATACGCGAGCAATCGAACACAAGCAACGGTTGTCGAAAGTAGACATTCGTCTCAAATTTTCCGATCGAACAAGCCAGGTCTCGCAACCGTACAGTAGGACAGCATAGACTGTGGCATTGTACATCCGGCCTTTGAGCTTGAGACTGACATCGCGACGACGCCACAAGTGTCTCAAGTTAGTAAATGCAAAGCGAGCTCTGGCAATTCGTTGTGAAATTGCATCGCCAATACCGCCACCAGCCGGAATGCAACTCCCGAGGTAAGTAAAGCTGTTAATGAGCTCCAGGTTGACACCCGAAAAGGTGAGCGTAGGCACAGGAGCTTGCCAATCCTGGAGCAAAGTTTTACACTTGGATGGAGCAAAATACAGACCGTAGTTAGATGCCTCTATCGCTAAGCGGTTCAGAATGAGTTGAACAACCTGCGAGTCGTCCCCCAGCAAAGCGATGTCATCAGCATAGTCCAGATCCAAGACTGTACTCCCGGGTAGAAGCTCAACGCCGCCCCCCATCTTTGAATAAGGCCGGAAAAAGACTGTCAAGGCCAGGAGCTTTGTGGCGTTTCAGTGGATTTTTCTCCGTATTTCTGATTCAGTGGGAGGATCTATGCAGACTGACCAAGGATCACATGATAGCAGTGGATGTGTAACCGGAGGTTGTGTCGGGCAATTAAACTGGAGAGCAGTGCTCTGCACAGCGATCCAAGCGTCTGCGTAGGTTGGTGATGTTTGTACCGTCTGATTCACAGATGGTCTGACTGATGACCTGAACTTTGCGTCCGGTGGAGCTGATGAGATAAAACACCCTGCGGTTATTATCAGCAGAGACAGCAACTTCCATTTCCTTGGCCTGTTTAGACCACCAGGATTCACGATCACGGCGAAGACTCACTTTCAGTTGTCGAGAAATAGAACGGCGGAATACAGTGTGCTCTACACTGACGGGTATAACCCGCCGATAGTCGAAAAGTTCCGCGATGGCCGAGACCCAACTTTTAGTTGTGTAACGAACAAGACCGCAACTGGATAAACCCGCTGAAAACAAAACCTGCTGCAATCGCGACCAATGCTGATCAACGTCCCTAGGAGGAGGAGAAGTGAGGCTCTCACGGAGCTGCTTTTGATATTACAATTGCACGGCGGGGTCTTCCAGTTTAATGGAGTTAAGTCGAGTTTGTCTAGTCTTAGGCGAGAAACCGAAACGCATGCAAACCGAAGCACGCACTAGCGCATGATCAGTTTCCACGCATGTTGACCGAAAGAATCTGCAGTCCCGAATACTGCCACGCCAGCAATGAAGTATGGCGATGTGGTCAATCTGTGATCAACATTGAGGAGAGGATGGGGCGTGCCAGGTAGCGTAGTGACGTCTAGGGTGGCGAAAATTTGTGCTGGAAAAGTAAAATTGGTGGACAGCAACAAAAACTGAGTAGTCTTTCACCATTGTCTGAGCGAAAGTTGTCGTATCCATGTGGGCCTCCAAGATGGCGTTCGCTTGGTAACAAACGATCAACACGCGAGTTGAAATCCCCCGCCAGAATAATGATGTCCGTTTTGGGGATCTTTAAGAGCACATCATGAAGGTTCTGGTAGAATTGATCCTTGACGGTCTCTGGGCTACATTCAGTTGGAGCACAGGCGAAGATTACAAAAAGAGCACGTTTATCTTCTCGACCCTTGTTAACTTTGCACGAGACATGTAGCCAGACAGCACAAAGGCGACTGTTGATCGGAATCTATTCGAGAAAGGCAGATTCGGCTCTGGCACTAAGGGCGAGCGCAACACCAGCTTGCTCAGAAGCGGTAGCCTCGGTGTCTCCAGAAAGTCGA